TACTTCAGTTGATATGTCTCAAATAATGATTGTTGGTATTCAATTATATTCTAGTCTGTCACTGCTTGCATGACAATCTATGTTGATGTTACCAGAATTACCAGGAATGGTTACAGTGTTTGAGCAATTTTTCCAGTTGAATACAGTGACAGTTATACTTGTAACATCCATCACTACTGTATATGCCACCGGGATATGCCACTCACAGGTTACAGCATTTGAAACACTCTTGGCACTGAACTGCAACTCATTCATTTTCACGGTGGCAATTATTGGTGTTGGTATCTACAGCACTGAGGCGGGGGAATATAATGTCTTTGATTCTCATGCTAGAGATATGTATCATAACAGTCATAGTGAAGGGACATGTGTATTGTTGGAAATACCATCCATGCATAAATTAGTACAATATTTTCAGACTCTACGTAGGAATGAGCATATATATGAACTTAAACGTGTACATATTGCCACCTTTGAGCCTCATCTTTTCTCAAGCAATGTTGAACATTGTAGTATATCAAATGTTAATAGTTACCAATGTTCCTGTAAACAGTGCTACCCTATAGCAGTTTATGCAATGTGTTACTCTCTTATTAATCCTTGTGGATACTGGACTTAAGGAACTTTATTTGCCCTTTTTACTAACCGGAATACACTGTACAAAGTGATGGGTGTGAAAACACATCTGTCAGTATCAGTGGAGCTGAGATAAACCTTACTCTCCGTGCTATAACCACTTATGTCCTATGTTGCAATTTGGCTCCAAGCATGTCTGCATTGAAGATGTGCATATTTTCAAACATTGTCGTGAAATGACACTATTTTTTTTGTTGTGGATTGGGACATACTGTATAAGCTGTGTGGTTCAGCAATCAAGTGGAGTAAAGGATTTGTCTTCTCTGGTAAGATATGATGACAGTTCTTTAGCTGCAATAAGGCACGTTCAAAGTATCGTACCCGTAGTACGACCACGCCCAAATATACGCTCACACAGCGTCTTGTTTAGTTAGAGGGAAGACTCGAAGGTTTCAAGGTTTTCATCATTGTTGTATATGGTTGCATCATCATTATTCACGAGGTTGTCACGTGCGAATCTACTTAATGAAATAGTCTTTTACTCGACGACTTGATTCTAGAAGTGTTATAAGTTATTGCTTCTTAAGAAAACAGCGTTTAATTAACGCACTAATTACAAAACTAAAGAGGTGTTCAAACATTTAAGTTACTGTTGTTATTGTGAAAAGCCAGTCTGCATGAGATATACAGTCACACAGTTTGCACGTGAAAGTGTTGGACTCTGCCCATTTCGTGGTTCGTACGTGAGGGAATTCGAGTTATCACACAGTAATCCAGTAAGCAGGATTATAACAATAAATCATGAACACAGTTTGCAAGTGAAGACGTTGGACTTTGCACGTAGTGCCAAGTGTAGTGGTCTATCTCACTTTGACACTCATGTATGGGCCGGGGCATCATTACTCATTCCTTCATTACTTGTAAGCTGCACCTAAGCAGTCTGGCAAAGTCCCCCAACCAGTGTTGTAAATTATCCCTGAAAAGCCCCAAAGGGAGTGGATAATAAGATATTTACCATTTATACAGATGCTTCAACCACTGCCATATGAGCTTTTTTTTTTTCAAAATACCTCAATCATGTCATTATAGTATTTCCATACAATTCCAACCAATCAAATAAAACCAAACCAGTCTTTCTTTTCGACGTTGTCTAATGGGCGGAACTGGGTTTGAAAACTGTTATACTTTTTTCCGAGCTATTATTGCAGAATTGAGTAGACTGTACTTCTACAACGACTCGATTTCTTTTTCTTTCCAGTCTTTACTTGTTTTCATTTTTAGTCCCAAGTACTAAGCACCTACCTCGGAATCATCTAGGCTTGTGTCAGTTCGAGGTGAAGCTGCTTCTTGATCTGATTTAGTTGAAGGTGACACGCTACGGCTGATTGCTAACACAGAATAAAATTTCAAAAATACGCATTAAATTCATCTGTCGTGAATGTACTATTACAGAAAATACTCACAGCCTGGCACAATTACTGCACTACTGCAACATGAACGCATGAACGTCAACTAACAGCCATCTCTCCTGTGGTCATATAGTTAACTCACTGAAACAAACATTTCAACATTTTTATGACTGCTTAATCTTATTTCGATTAAAATTTTATGCATTATCATTAATTTACCTGTTCATTTAGTGCAAACTGTTTCAGGGAGGTAATTTCAAGCTCAGAAGATTCTCTATTGCTCTCACGTTTAAGATCCACCTCGCAGTGAAACACCTTACGACGACGACCATTTCAAAACACTGGCCCTTTTGACCCTGGATAGCTGCTGTCAAGAGGCAACCAACCTTTACACAAAATGTCATTGGCCGAGCAGTTTGGCAAATTCACTTTTATCCCGCGTTGATTTATTAGTGTATAATCTTCAGTTATGCTTTAACGTGTTTTTAAAATCTTGTATACAATGTTGAATAAGTTAGATTTAAGGAGTATTATGGGCTGCACGGGGGGCATAAGCACATAATCCGTTTTACGAGCGCCTTTCAGGGCATTTTTTCTTAAAGTTTTCTGAATAAGATTGTAATGGGAAAAAGATTGTTGTGTGGATGTAATAATGATGGGTGACCCTATTGGGCGGAATGGCGGACTGACGGAACGGAATGACAAAATACACGGAACATTCTGCTAAAATACGGAATATACGGAATAGTCTAAAACACGAAATTTACAGAACACTCTTTTTTCGTTTGAACTGGACTGACAAAAAAGCAGAGGCAAAGAATACATGGTTGTTTTGAAATATTGAAAATTCAATTTTCGTACTGCCGTTAGTGTCGAAAGACCATATTTCAAATACTTAGCGAGTACAACGGATTTTGCAAATGCCCCCTGGGCATCCCATAATACTCCTTAAATCGCATAAAAATTCAATATGGCCGCCGTATCGGTAAAAAGGTCTATTGTTCAATTATCTCGATTGAAGTCTCTAAGACGACCGCTTTATTAATACATTTTCATGTATACCTGAACGTACATCGCTGTAAAGCACTAGCAGAGAATTATATCAATTTCTTTTCTTAAGACCTCTAAAGATAATTGCCCAAGAAATTGTGCAACACCAACTCACCTGACTTTTCCATAAGAGCTTTCTTGCAAGTCAAATAGCTTTCTTCATCAATGATAGTCTTTAATCTGAGTGTCACCAAGTTGATTTCTCTCTTCATATCATCAGTTACCAAAAACCTCTCTGCAGCTTCATTCAGGACACCAGAACAATAATCATTCCACAGACTTTCCAGACTTTGCAGGTCGGGACACTGACCTTTTATTACCAAAGATCCAACACCCACAGACGTTAAAGTTAAGTTATAAGTATTTTCTACATGCTTAATGAAGTTGCTCAGTCCACTGGCTGTAGAAAGCTTGTTTGTTTTATTGTGTTCCAAGTACGCTTTAAGTTGTTGTCTTAACAATCCGTCCGCGAGGTCCTCCAGTTCACTACTTAAATCACGTGTGGTTATTGACATCTTAACAGTGTTTGCTGTTTCTGAAAATTATTGATTAAAAGCATAATTATTAACTACAAGTTTTATTACTGCTTCTTATCACAATTCAAGAAAAAAATAAACTATTTACTAATGTATAAGGAAACTCAGTGAGGCTCCTCAGCTTTTTGTTTGAAAAAAGCTTTTACACAAACAGAGCATTCTTAAGCTATTCACCATTTTCACATACTTCTTGCAGCCATCTTGTTTACCCCCCAATTTCTCCTAGGTGACACTCGTCCCATGAGAAATCGAAGACAATGGTTATGCAAAATTTTGGGAAGCTAAGAAAGAGCGTGGTCTATCTGAAAATGATGAATAGCAGAAAGACAAAAATAATGTAATTATTCTATACCTTGGTCAGAAGTGTGTCCTGAAACGCTAGGAGTATGGTAAATTGAGGGAGATTCTTCACTTAATCTGGCTGCATCCTCAGTTTTAGGCTGTTCATCAACTGGACATTGATCTCCTGAGAATCCAGAAGCTGAAGCATGTGTTTTTCCAACAGGCTGCTTTTCATTGACAGAAACATCCTTTGGTATATCAGAAGCATCTGGTGTGAGAACAAGCCTTTATTATAAGTTTCTTCCAAAATATATGTACAGTACATGCAACTGTCTGTTTTGTAACCCATTCACATCTCCACCACCTATAACTACCCATATGGAACCACATCCCACGTAACACTAAAAATAAATTATTAACGGTCACACAACTGCGACCCTCAAAGTGGTGGAGACCCTTCTTCTACACAATAATTCACAGATCTTTTTATGCATTTACAACTTCCAATACCACGTTCATAGGTGTGAACAAAACATTTAAGCCCAAGAAGCAATAGGAATTCAAAATAAATTCGATGAGGATAATCCTAAACATTTATACAGTCAGCTTTATCAAGCTATAGCTAAATAGAGCTATATTATTATAAAAGAAAGTATGCATCTCAAAATTTCAAGTAGCCAATTTTATTTGTATGTTTGTCACCTCACAACACAAAACTGACTGTCTTTGTATGTTTCCCATCAGTGAAAGTTTAAAAACACTGAAGTTCAAGTATGGCTACATGCCCCCCCGCCCCCCAACCCCCCACTGTAGAAGAATTGAAGGTGCATGATTTCTCAGGAAAATAACTGAATCTACTAGGTAAGGATTGTAAAGAGGTACATTATTTTATACAGTGTGTCTTGGCCACATTTATCTGGCAATCAATATTTAACGATAAAACATTCTGGGACAGTACATACATATACTAAATTTGCAAAGAAAACTCATAGAACCTGTGAGTACACTCGGCAACGTGGTCAAAGAAAAAAATGTATTCAGTGCTTGTGCATGCACTGCACTCTTACATTTTGCATAACAAAAACTATATTAGTTTAATGTCTAGTACAACATGAATACAGTGTAATCAAGTAAATCTGTTCAGCACTTAACAAAAATAACTCTTACCATGACCCATTCTCTGCATTCTGTTCACAAGGGCATCACATTGCTCCTTCCAACTGTATGTCTCCCCATAAGATGCTCTCAGTAATTTTATCTCTTGAAGCCTCATTCCATGCCTGATACAAACAGCTTCTATTGCTTTTGCCCATTCTGCAGGATCATCTGAATTCATGATGCATGTACCACCATTAGGAACATTCTCTAACGCTTTGGCCAATCCTGACCTACTGCCTACAAGAATGGGTAGTCCCGCAGACAAGGCCTCAAGTGCGACAAGACCAAATCCCTCTGATTTTGATGGCATTATGGCAATGTCAGCTTCGCACAGCAAATCTTTCAGTCTCTCTCTACTTTGTACAAATTTTCTAACAGTCAACTGCGCTTCCAGAATACCACTCTGAAGAAGTTTTTTTCTAACTTCTTCTTGCTTTCCTTCAGGTGCTCCAACAAAGATTAGACGATATGATTTGTTTTTCAGCCGTTGATCAGTAAACGCTTGAGCAGCAATTTTGTATCCTTTGAGTTCAAAGTCCTCATCATCCCCGCGACCAAATAACAACACTTTAAATTCACCATCTTCATTAGGGTTTTGTTTTGCCACTAAATCCCCAAATTCCCTTTGAAAAAGGCCTGGAGTAATGGACAAAACTTCTTGATCTGTCTTACATCTCTGTAAATATGAAGAGTATGCTTCTTTTAGTCTGGGTCCAACAGGCACAATAAGATCAGCAAGTTTGCAAAGCCCAACTTCTGATTCATGTTTTGTTTCACCTTTTGAAATGGGGTCACTGTAGGATTTGAAACTGCTCAGGTCCTCTGGAGCAGTATGAACCACTTGTACCCACTTGCAATTTGGAAATTGAGCAGAGTCTCTAATGAATTGCACTTGCCGGCCAAGTTTAACACCATGGCCAACAACGATGTCCATGAAGTGGTCCTGGGGTGGGATGCTCAACCAATCAAGACGATCATATGCTGCACGTTCTTTCGCCTCAACAATAGTGATTCCATAGCCATCTGCTTCTTTTATCTCTTCAGTGTTGCAAGCTCCCTCTGGGACTAGTAAAGAAATCTTCACCGCTGAATGATTTGAAAGGTGAATAGCAAGCTCTCTGTTTATGGTGGATAACCCACCAGCAGATGAACCCCACTCACCACCAAGAAGAGTAACATGTAACACTGGAACACTGGTGTCACCATAGCAAGCCTACAAAGAACAAATATGACAATAAATAACAGTAAGAACATAAATGTAAACTGTTGGTACTTCTGTTCAAGAACCATGCTCCGCTTAATTTGCTTGAGTCTTTTACAATAAAAAATTATGATAATTGTTTAATCTAATTCTTCACATTGATCCCTGGTCATGTAATTAAAACTAATAAGAAAATAATTAATAATAAAAATAATAACTAAGAAAAATGAAAGAAAACAAAGTAATAGCAATTATTTATACAAAAATTTGTTTTCATCGACTATATACGTAAGTTGATACAATGTAGGGGTAGAATAGCCAATTTTTTTTTCACTCCCCCACCCAACGTCTAGAAAATTTGATTTAAATAGGAATAAATTAGGGATATCAATGTTATTTCTTCCAGATTTCAGTATTATTCTTAAAACAGTGACATGCGCTTTGATAAATTAACAGCTTACAATCAGTATATTTTAGAGGAAGAGTTTTGTTTTAGAGTTTCAAAATATGAGAAATTCCTTCATAATCTAAAGTTCTATCAGGCATGAAACAAGTTATGAAGTGGATATATTTTGGCATATATTTGTCACTTTCGTTTTTTTTAGTACAATGACGCAAACTTCAATTAGGTATATACATACGTGATCATAGAAGTAAATCAAAGTTATTCACCAAACAAACGGCATATTACCATAAATTTCTTATATATATGTCAACATATTGGCCGACAACTGTCAAGTCAACATGTTGACCAAGCCTCATTTGAAATAATGGTTAATATTAGTAAACATGACAACCATGTCAGTCAACAAATGCCAGCTGACATGTCAACAGCAAAGTATAACATTCAGGGATAAAGTATAACTTTTAGTAACAAAAAAATAAATAAAAAAAAAGAATGAACCTCTGAATTGTCCAGACTCCTTGTTGCTTTCATGACCTCAGGCTAATCAGATGAAGCAGCCATGACCGATAAAGAGAAGGGGAATATAAGTCCTTGCTATAGTAACATATTAATCATACTGCCCACTTGTCAGATAATAATAATGTGACTCTCAGCTGTCAGTGCTGTAGTTAATCCAGGGAAGAGTGGTTATGTATCCACCTTTTAAACAAAACCTGGATCCTGTTGGACTCACATGCACAGCCTTGGCATTTTGTGGTAATGATTTGAGGAGCACTTCACCAGGTAGACTCCATAGACACTGCCTTGCCAATGAATAGTGAAACACAATAATAATAAAAAAGGTAAACTTGCCTAACTTATTGCCTACTTTTTGGGTTTTTGTTTTAATGCCGAGGGTATAAACAACAAGAATACAGAGATAATTTTATGTCCAGGTTTGCATGCAGTTGCAAAAATTACAAAAAATTATGAAAATTCACTGCATTAGTGAAAAGCAGTAAACGGGGAGGTAAGGAAGACCTCGGCTAAATCTGTGATTTTTGTGAAAACGGCAAATTAGAGAAAATTGGAAAACTTCAGCAAAATTCAGAAATTTGCCGAAGAGTGTAAAGCAGTGAAAGAGGAGGTTGAGAAGGCCTCGAAAAAACCTGAGATTTTTTTGAAACTTGCAAAAAATTGGGCAAACATGAGATAGATAATTTCAAAGTTGCTCCATTAGTCTCTGTTTTACAGCCAGGCTAAGTGCGAAGCCATTGATATAAAAATATTTTTTTCAGTATTCACTAACCCTTTTTTTCACTAAACCTCATTTTGAAAGCAACAATTTATATTTTGAAACTCACAGAATTCCTATAGTATTTTACTGAGCCATCAAATGTAGTGGGTGAATCATTTCAATGCAGGGGAAGCAGGGAGGGGGAGGGGGAGGGGTTGTTGGGGATGTGGCTAGGAATTGAGTTAGTTGGTAAAGAATCAGTGTGTAATGTTGCATTATTCCTACTTACAATTTCATCGAAATGCCTTGGCAGGCATTAATTACCACTGAAGAATCAAAAAGTTCGTTTATTATTTTAAAATACATAAGCTTACTGTGCCGTAAGACTTGATGCCAGTTCAATCAGTGTTCAAAGCCGGAAGTGGGTTGATCGTATGATTTTCTCGTCAAAAACATCAACGCTTTTCATCTTGGTTAAGCTGGTTAACGTTACAGTTTCGATTTTTTATAATTACGGTTTTCTCCAATTCATTAAGTAAAAGTGTAAACATATACACTTTAAAAATTAGCCTAGGAGGAGAGGGAAGCATCCAAAAGCGCACTAGGCACCATACGTGGGATGCTTCCCAGTAAATATTTTAGGTGGAAATCATTTTTCTTGAACTTCTTTATAGGTTCAAGCTGCACTTTAAGCTCAGCTAAACTTGCGAACATTGCTTATTAAATTCAATATTGCTGCATAGTCTTTAGTTAAAGAGGAGACTAAAGGGAACAAAAACAGACGAAGACAAGAATCCTTACCCTGCTGTAGCTATACAGCTCGACGTTCAGCTGTTAGTTTCTAATTTTTGATGTTCTTCCAGTAATATCTCCGCTAATCTGACTCCTAAAATCAACACCGCTCAAATCAGACTGTAGCCTGAGTATCAGGCCTTCCCAACGGGCTAGCCCAGGAGAAAGGAGATCTTAGATGATACTTAATTAAAATCGAAATCAGGCCGACACCGGCGCAATGGTTCTATGTATGTCCACATAAAATGTCCAACCTTGTCCCCAGGGTCTCCTCGTTTTTCAATTTGGCCGCGGCAGGAGAGAGGACTGGACAGAACACCTCACACGAAAACAGTTTGGGTGCCTCACGAAAGTCCACCAGTTAGGAGTCTCAACCTCATTCTCACGTTCACTCAAAGGCTAAGGGTGGGTCAGGGAGAATCCAAAAACGGATTTTTGATCTCAGATCATACGGATTCTTCACTACCAAAAAAACGGAAGATCCGAAAAAGGATCATTTGCCATGACAACGGCATGTCCTCGTGCTCCTCGTGGGAAAAAAAACGGATACTCACCGCGGCAAGGACAAGAAGAAAAAGCAACATAAGCTAGGAATGAATATACGAAATGTATATATTTTGGTTTGAAACACAAACGTTTCTCGAATAGAATACACCCCTTAGGATAGTAAAATTATTAGAATTTAAAATTGAAGCCGATGAATTGTTTTTTTTTTTTTTAACTTGGAAAGTGAACCAGCGTAAGCAGACCCTACATACGTACAAAAGACATGACAAGTAAGGGTTTAAAAACAGTCTGCCAATAATTTGAATAGATGACAAACATGGAATGATATGGCTCAAACTTAATAAGACGCCACCAACATAGGTTCAGACCATTTTTTTTTGCGAAAAACCGCTTGTCAAAAATACTTTTCAAATCCTTTCCCAAAAAAACGCTCAGATTGTGAATCTCAAAAATCCGGATTTGGATTTGATCCGAAGAATCCACCCTGAGTGTGGATTTTATGAATTCATGATCCGTTTTTGGATATGCCCCAAAACACCCAAAATCCGTTTTTGGATTCGGAAATCCGGATTTGGATTCGGAAATCCGTATTTGGATTTTCCCGAAAAAACGCACCCTTACATCCATGTCTCTTCTAATGGAGTCAGTAAGAAAAGTAATTGCTGACTGTGTAGAGTACTTACGACCCTGATGACGGAATCAGCATTGGTATCTTGTAAACAGGTCACGTGAACCTGTCACGTCAACCTTTTTACCGATACGGCGGCCATATTGAATTAATTCGATTTAAGGAGTATTATAGGATGCCCAGGGGGCATGAGCGCATTTCGTTTGTATTTTCGAGCGCTTTTCGGGAAATTTTTTCTTAAAGTTTTCTTAGAATAAGATTGTAATGGGAAAAAAGATCCTTGTGCCGTGTTTGGATGTAATAATGATCGCCTTTTTCTAGTTTAGTATTAGAAACATGGTCTTTCAATTCACTGTATTTTTCTCGGGAAAAAGGCCAGGGGCGTATCCGGGATTTTTTTTAGGAGGGGGTGCACTCGTCTCTTGCTCTACTTCAACACCAATAAACCACATAGTTTTTTTCTTTGCAGAATACCAGTTGTATTAGAAAACCTCAGGTCATCTCAGGGGGGAGGGGGGCTGCGCACCCCCTGCACCCTCCCCCTAGATCCGCCCCTGAAGGCGATCATTATCACTGAGCCCTAACGTTAATTGTTATGTCGTCCGGATGAGTACAGCATTGAATAGTAAGGTTTTTGACCACCAATGCAGAAGTGATCATCAGAGTCACCTTCCTGTGCGAGAGTCATCATCAGGTTTTTCTTGACCCTGATGATGACTTCAGCACGCTACACTCTCCCGGCCAAATAATGACAGGATTTGTTGGTTTAAACCACTTACAACATCAAGAACTTAACTTCAATATTAAGTTCTTCGATTCCCTCATCAATTTAATAGGAAACGCTACTAGCCTTGAAAGCGAAACATCCAGATACATATCATGGCCTTTAACGCTGGATTGCAGTGGCAAACGGTTTACTATGGCATATTTGAGTACAAGAATAATTGCCTAAAGTCTATCAAAGGACCTTTTTCGTGCCTATTTAAGACACAGAAAATGAAAGCTTATCCTAGTCATGCTGAAACTATCACCAAGTACCGGATTTTAAATGATAAAACCGTTCAAAATTCTGCAAAAAGATGCGAAAACAGAATTTTGGGATTTCTCCTGTCCTGTTAACTGTCTAAGGCTTGGTTCACACTATACCACATAGCTTTTGCGCCCCCAAGAAAACCATGCCGCATAAGGCGTCTGTTCCCACATAAGAACGGTTATGGCTCGAAGGTGGAGCGTCACATAGCGGATAGGTTTTGTGTCATACTTTGGTGCAATGTAAACGCCTGTTCGGACCACCGCGGAAATAATAAGTATGTGCGAGTAATGGAACCCACTGAGACGGAAGTAAATTTTCAGGAGTAAGAAAAGGAATTTAGTGCACCAAACCCTCTCGTCCAACCAAGCAGGCACGATGTTGGACTGTGTAAAGGACTTGTGCCGGCCTGGGCCGTTGCTGTTCACACTATAACAGATAGGTTTTCGTGGAATCACAAAGACCTATCCTGTATAGTGCGAACTTACAGTCAAGGGACACACTGAATTCTGCAAAGCTGATCGTGCTACGTGAAAATTAACTTTGCAAGACATCAACACGACAACGAAAGAACCAAAAACAGAGCGGGATCGTAGCCGTAGACAGCTGTTTCGTCTTTTTGGGGGGCTCGTCAGTACGGCGCAACGAACAGAGAGGCTCTGCCGTAAAATTCTCGCTTTTAAATAGGGCCTCAAATATAACCAATTTTTCCCCCAGGTTTTGTATTTACAAGTGAGCGTCCTCATTATTCACTGGTATCGTTTCCAAGTTTCATATGCACGTGCACATTTAACAAAAAGAAATAAATTTGCATCAAAAGAACTCTCGATTACTTTCGGAAGAAATATCCGGAAAATGCTAATAATTGGCTTGTGTCACAGATAGCAGTGAGAGCCGAGACGGTGAACGTCACGGCTCATCGTGCAGGATGCAATACTTTAATAATTATCTTACTCGGGTTATAACGTCACAGAAACTCATACAAAGAATTGCTGTGATGTTATAATATATCACCAATTTCTTTACCAGGTTATTAGCATATTCGGGAGATTTAACCGAGTATTCTTTTATGATGCAAATTCTATCTTTTTGCTAAATGGGCACGTGCATATAAAACTTGGAAACAATGCCAGTGAATAATGAGGACGCTCACTTGTAAACACAAAATATGGGGGGAAATTGGTTATATTTCAGGCCCTATTTAACAGCCTTGTCTGTTTTCAATGTTCTTAAAACTTGCAGGGTATATTTATAGACGATTGATCTCGGGATTGCAAAATTTATAACAAAATTTATCGAGCGGTTTTTTTGAAAAATGCGAAATTTGTAGGCATGGACCAAATTATGTGCAAAAACTGTAATACCAGTTACTAAAATTCTTCTTACTCGAGATCGCCCGGAGCAATTCTCCTCTTTTTTCGTTCGCAGTTTTCAATGGAATCAAACCACTATGAGATGAAGGCGCGTTTCCAAAGCTTATCATTTTCTTAAAAATTTAGCTAATTGTGTGGATAGCATGTTATTTCACTGTTTTTATGATGCTTAAAACTTCGTTTCAAAATATCTCGAGAACACTCTCATAGAATTTGTTCAAGTACAAACTCCCTTAAGCGACTTTTTAAAAAAACTCCCGGTACAGAGAAACACAAAGATAAATAAAAAACGTAATGGCGTTGTTACGTTGCCATGGCGACTTCGATTGCAATAAAACCCAGATCATAAGAAATTTTCATCTTTCTATAATACAGTTGTGGTCATCTTTTTCCCATATCCTTACTCATGGCGACGTAGTTAATGCTCAAACTTGGGAGGTATCCCCTCAAAAAAATCCAGTCGACCCACCTTAAAAAGTCCAGTTTCAAAATGGCAGATAGTTAGAGGATAGTCAGAGTAAAAACTCGAACGAAAGCATTCTTTTTCGACGAAATATTGATCAATTTTCCTTCGGAGAATCTGCCTAAACTTAGTAAGGAAAGGATGCAGTATTTTTGTCATGACCTGAAGCTAAACTTAAGAATCCGACACTCAGCCGCAAGTGCAAGCAATTGTTCTATGAACAGGTCGCTCGAACCAAAGATGATTATAAATTGTCCTCTGTTAAATTCTACCAGCTTCTGTAAAGTAGAGGATCATTACAGGCAAGAACACAGAATATGTACGTACCGATCGTAACCTAAGTATGCCGGAGCAAAACTTAAAAGGGCAGTACAGAAGGGGTTACCTGGATTATTCCCGTCGCGGAAAAGAGAAATAGGGAGTTTAACCAAGAGACTATAAAGGGGAAAGGGGGGGCATCCCCCATATACACCCTATTCCATAGGTAATTCGTCTCGAGTTATTTTTAGAATCGGGATAAAGTTACCTCGCGCGAGGCGTGGATGTTTCGTGGAGGTTTCGCATGACCAAACGCCGTGCAAAACATGTCGGGCGAGGGGCAATGAAAGCGTAAAAAGATCGAGAGCATTCCTGAATATTGAAGCGAAATGAGTCGGCGCTCACCTGGGAAAAAGGAATCGCTGGACTCTTTGACAACCCGTGAAATCAGTTTAACTCGAAGTTGTCGTAACCTCAATGCTTTAATAAAATGAGAAATTTCGCCGGTCTATTGAAACCGGTCGTTTGTACAATTTAGGGAGTTTAAGATCCAACGACGCGGACGACAACTAGAGCGTCAAAAAAACAATAGGTTTAATTAGCAAAACAACAACTTCGCATGTGCAACACACTTTTTTTGTTCATTTCTTTCCCGTTTTTGCACGACTACGACGTGAAAATGCCTAATTTCGCGTTTTATGGAGGACATAAATAAGCAACGACGAAATTTTATTTCTCTTTCTGAGCTTGAATATGGTCCCTTGAAATTCAGCTTTAGGAGGGTTCGCCTACAATTGACAAAGTAAGTGGGTAGGAATAATCGCTATAAAGACTGAAAAAAATAAACATCAAACCAGAAATTGCTCTCTTCAAACTGTAAATTATAAATGATCCTGAGAGAGTATTCAGTGTGTTAAGGAATTCCCTGCTCTACTGTTAGCTCTATACAAGAGAGGAAGGGCGATTCTTTTTTAATTTCGGTTTCGCTGACACAGCTTTCGCAGAAATCTCTCTGTAGTCGTTTTCGTCGACAAAAGGAATAGCAAAATGGCTCTCCGCGTCTTCCCCCATTTTGTTCTGCGTCATTTCGTGAAGGACGCGTGGCTCTCAGCGTGGGTCATCCACGCGGAACACATTCGCGCTATGTGATTGGCTGTTGTCTAATCCCCCTTGAGATCTGTGGTGTTAAAAATAACTCGAGACGAATTACCTATGGAATAGGGTGTATATGGGGGATGCCCTCTCTGCCCCCTTTATAGTCTCTTGGTTTAACTCATTCGCCCCTGAACCGCCCGTAACCGCCCGTGCGGATCCACGTCCTTTCTACCCTTTGTGACGTCATCAGTTTTGACGGTCAAGGACAACTTTGTCCCCTAACTTGTGCAGAGTGAAGAGACCTTTCAAACCATACCAGAATGAGTACAATTCAGTCAAGGACACCGGAGAAAGAGGCAAAAAACAATGTAACATTGACCTGAAAATCTCCATGAAAATCTTGTTCCATTGCCCACCTACCTTTCCTTTCACCTAACCCTAAGATCCTAAAAGCTTTCCTAAAAACTATTCCCACCAAAATGAAGCCTACTAAATGCCCAGCAAGAGAAAAAAATAATGAGGCAAGAAAAGCGAAAAAAGAGGGGAGGAGAGAAAGCGCAAAGTAAAAGTCAAGACTGCTGTGTCACTTTTAAACCCAAAAGCTTGCTTTCTGCGCATGCCCGAACTTCGCAAGCTGATATTTTACTTCTGGATCAGAAGGCCATGAAGTGTACGGCCTGTAAACCGGTTTGTGGTAGGTTTTAGCTCTTTATAGCACGACAGTGACCAGAAAACCACTCGACTAGCTTCAAAACGCGTTTTTCGGCAGAATCTCCAGGAGCGAATGGGTTAATATTTGACATAAGTATTCATGGGCGAAAAAAATAAAACCTCACCGGTATAACCAAAACTTTGTTTACCAATTTCACCCGACGTAATTGCTTCCTTCAATTATGGAAGAATTTGTTCATTGTTCTAAAGATAAGATCACATGCAAAACTGACTTGCATTTTTGTGAACTGTGATGAAAACAAGAAAATCTTTGCCTGTTGTTTCCCTCTCCGTCTCTTCTCTCGTAGTCTACTGTCTGTAACGCAATCTTAACGTTCTATATTTGCATGACTCAACCCAGTGCTACAAACAAAGGACAACGCTCGTCCAGCCGTAGTTCGTAGTCCGTGGTCTCCGTACCTTAAACTCCCTAATGTCCGTGTAAGGTACTGAATGTAGTGAACTTTGTGGCGTTATGTATGTTAAACCTAGTGTTCTTAAATCACATGCAGGATAATAAGGGACTAGTCTAAACTCAGTGCATGCTAGCCAACTGAGGTCGGTCAATCACGTGACAACCAAACGAAAAGAGGTTGACCATAATCCCGGGGGGGTACTGGCAGAAAAATTGGGTAGGGGTGTGCGGCCCGCTTCCCAAAACCCTTACCCTATTTATGACCAAAATCTGCGATTTTCCCTACCCTATTTATGACCTAACCAAAAATTTGATACCCTATTTATGACCTGACCCTTCAATCAATACCCTGTTTCAGACCTGCCTTATAATTATTTCCCTAGTTCAGACCAATGTTAAAGGCAATGTTTATTTGCTTTTATTAGGTTAGGGAGACATGATAAGGAAATAGCTTCTTCTAAAAAAGTGCATTCAAGACTACAGTGCAAAAATTGTTTCCCTATTTATGACCAAAATGGCGGCAAAATAGCCAAAATCGATACCCAATTTATGACCAAAACGGCTGAAAAACCCTACCCTTTGGGGCCGCACATACCTATATAGCCCATATTAGGGAGTACCCCCCCCCCCCGGGACCATAATCTATGAGTATGGTGCTCTGTCTCTGTCACGTGACATTCTTGACTATTCTTGATTGGATTACAAGGTGATTGCCCAAATTGTAAACATGCTCGTAGACCCAATAAGTTCCAAAAAGAGGCAGCTCAACAAGTGAGCTCTTGTAAGACATTGCAATTTGACATTTTCAGATCAATGAATTTTTAGATGTCTTGAGTAGTGTCTAAATTACTAGAATTGCAATGTAACTGGAAGGTACAGAATCACAAGCAGGGGCCTCAAAAAGACACTATATACTATATACAATTTATCCCGCCAAGAAAAATTACTTGTGTTTTTTAACATTGCTCAATGCATGAGGTCTGGTCTGACAGGAACTGCAGTGTTACCGGAAGAGAAATGCCTCTCTTTTAAGACTGAAGTATACTTGCTTTTATCTATGTTCAGTGAGAATTGTCTCTGGTCAGATCTTTAGGATTTTTCACTGAGACCGTACGCAGCGACGGAGAGAAAACCTAATGTAATATAAGCCTTGCCGACCTAATGCGACGTTGCCCTTTCACTCAGGGTTACTCTGGCATGTTCCCTTTTTAGTAGTCTTTATTTTACGGTTCGTAAAAACAGGTACACCCACTCCCTTATCATCCCCCAATATTCGGTCGGATCCAGCGCCTTAAAAAACGCGACGGTTCTTTGTTCAAATTTTTTGTCGAACAATTCGGGAATCCTTCCAAAACTTCAAGTAGCGAAAGCCTCCGATTAAATCTTTCTTTTCTCAAGGTTTTTAATCAAAGTTCCTCATAGCAGTAAAACTACTGTTCTTTGCTGTAGAATAATAAATTTCTGGAGTAATCTGGCCCTTAATATCGTTTCAACGGCACGCAATGACCTTTGCTTTACCCTCTGTTTTGGAAGCCATTTTGAATCCGGAATTTAAAAAGTCCTGGAAAATCCGGTAGTGCCAGGTTTCCACGCGGTATGAAATAGGCACTGAATTATCAATTCACCAAACGTTGCTTTAGTTAGAGGGAAGACTCGAAGGGCCTGTTTACATGGAAGTGGGGGACCCCAGATAGGTGAGGTAACATGTGGGGGGGCCACCCCACCTATCATGTAAACGTGTTCAAATTAAAATGAGAGATTATATGTACAGGCGGGTTACCCCACCTAAGCGGGTTACCTCACCTACCTCGGGAGCCCGACCTTCCTGTAAACAGGTCCTTAAGGTGGCCGAACCTACTTATACGCGCGTTGGTTACGTTTTTGAATCGCGCTTTTCGGCTATGATTTTTGGCATCATTAATAAAGACTACTGCAACTTTATGATAATCTTATTTATTTTCTTGTACGTATAAAACCGTTTGAGATATCTCAATTTATACTGTTTTACTGTAAAATAGTTGTATTAATTAATTCGCTTACAAAAATAAGAGACCTTCAAAACAGGCCTTGCACTTATACAAAATTAAATCTCCGTGTGGACGCAAATGGGCAATGACCTTAGACACTCATAAGCCGTATACAACGGCATGATACAATATGTATCATCAAATAAATAACCTGACAAAATCAAGTTCTTCTTCGAGCATTCTCGACTTCAGAGCTTTCGGTTTTTTTAGGCCATGAAAGGCCGCGAAGGTTCTGAGAAAAAACTGCACACGCGTAGCCTTAGTCATGCCTCAGTCCTTCAGTCCTCAGTAATACGCAATAGAGAATAACTCTGAAGTCAAGAATGTTTTGAAGAAGCGATCGGCGCCTGAGCTATTGAACTCTTACGTTGTTCATTAAATATTCAGAACAATAACATCGAACTGCATGAAAAGTAGTGAGAAGAACTTCCCGTTATTTACGATTTTCTGACTATTTGGACTAAAATCGTAGAAAACTAATAGATTCTAATGCCTTTTATTCTCCCAGTTTATGAAATCACCAAATTTGCTAAGACTGAAGGAAGAACTTAGTTTACTCGATTATTAAAGATTCTCACAAAGATTCGACACGTCTCTAACAGGAACCTTACAAAAAGATCAAGGGTAACATTCAAAACAATATGCTATTCCAAACTTCATGGAATGTTTCTTTGATACGCAAAATTGGCTAAATTCGAAACAACGCGAACTAAAAGGCATTTCCGCTTTCAAGATAATTAGAATGTACGTCCTCAATGATTTCTCTGTCTTATTTCCTTTACCATGACTCTTATTAAATCTAAACAACACCAACTGATTTTTTTTCTGAAGCGAAAGATAAAGATAAAAAGTAATTTACTCAACGAAGCCGAGCTCTGTATTACTGACAGCAATATTCACTTGACTATCGCCCAATGAAAGGAATTACCTCGACCAATCAGGATGCGCAAAGACAATTGAACGAACCAAACAGATTTCCAAGCCAGCACCAAGGGCAGGGAAATCCGAATCAGCAAGTCACAATTGGTTTTTGTTTTAATGCTGATTGGCTAATAAAGTAGGCCATTTCCGAGTTTCCAAAGTTCTCGCTTTCAAAGTGAGGCCAAGTGAAAAATCTTTCATTTAATAACGAGTTTCATTTGCATGACAACTCAGTTAATTTTTTTTTGTGAATACTTCGCACTTAGAGTTCTCTAGAAGAGGCTTGGGAAACATGGAAATGGTCTGTTAGTTTCGGCATTCAACAGATCCCACTCTAACCAGGTCATTACCGAGAACGATTCACAAAAAACAAAAAAACGCGGTTCGAAGCGTTACATTACCAAGTAAAAAAAATTACTCAGTAGTTTCCTGTAAGAAAATTAGTTATCAAACGATCTTTACTGAGGCTTATTTTCATAGCAGTAAATAGTTTCCATGTTGTTTGCTGGGGAGTTGAGAATTCCCTTTAGATCTTTATCTTGAAGGGCAGAAAGCTGGCCATTTCTCATAAACCTAAAATAATGAATAGGAAAAATAAAATTTCTTGCTGACTCAATTCACACCCTTAATAGCTCCGCCACCTTACGGCTTAAAACCCGATAAGAGTTAGCTTGTGAAAACAGCCATCATTTTGCGACGCTACAACTGGTTTCCCGCGAAATGACGTCTGAGGAACGAGCGGAGAAATTCCATACCGTCTGATGACGTGTCACTACCCAGATCTGGGAAGTGCTCCTGATTGTTTCAGAAAATTTCCCACGCGGCACGACCAATCGGCAGCTGGGCAGTGACACGTCATCAGTATGTTTGCTAGACCTTTTGCGGTTTTCTTAGGCTAGATAAGAGTTTCAGTCACAGCATGATAATTTCAAGATAGAACGACTAACTGCTAAAATTGTACACTTCAGTTCCTCTTAATGGCAAGGGGGGAAAAAAGTTTAATCAAAAATAGAAATCACCTTACCACAATGCAAACGAATCCTCAGAAAGCTTAAAAGTACTGGCCGCGGCACGAACCAGGTCTTGGGTAGAAGCCGCTACATCAACTTTAATGGAGCGTGTAAGAACCAACTGAACGGTCACGGTGGCGTCACGGCCCTTCCGAAACTGCTCTGGTTCGGATATATTACGACGTGGAACCGGCCTCTTTCTAGAAGCAGGGGGTGGCGGCTTATCAGAGGGGTTATCAGACGAGCATTTCTCTGTGCTAGGGCTACCTAGTGGAGTGCTAACAATCCGCCTTCGAGGCAACGGTGATCGAGATTCACTGCCCATCACAGGCATTGGAGACACTCTCGGCTCGTGCTGGGACCGACGAGAAGGTGGAGGTCGACCAGGCCTTCTTGGCCATTCAGGGAAGAACAGTAGGGGCCTGTTTGGGGGTTCTAGCGGGGTAGGGACAGGTTTGTTTGGCGGCTCTGGCGGAGCGGCACGTTTGAAAGATTTGTGAGTGTTACCGTCACGTAAAGCGTTCATCAAAGCCCTTCTACCTATCGCCTAAGAACAAAACGAAGATGATTACCTTCTGTGAGCAACAGAGAAATATTGAAATCCCAATCAAAGTAACGATGGAGCTAACAATGTGCTGTCTGTTAGACTCGGTAGAGAGGATACGGCTCGTTTTAATACATAAATTCCCGCACATCAATTCCCTTACAATATCTACTTCCTGGTCCTGGTTGTTCAATCTAGTTTTACTTCCGAAGGGGGGTGCTCCTTTATTTGGCCAAGGGCAGGTATGTCCTTCTGAACAGGGCATGGTTTTCAGGTTTTTGAGTCTTAAACATAGTTATACAATTTCCCTATTTACAGTCTTGAAATGAGCGGTCTCGATTTGTGGAAGCAACGGGTTTTCCCAAAAAATCTAATTCCATGATTTCACTTTGAAAAATCACTTAATTCTGTATGCAAAACGTAACGAATCAGGGTCATAATATAACGCCTCGTCTTAAACAGCTAGCGTAGCAAAATGAGCAATCAAGGGTCAGGGTTTCAAGGGCTTGGCGGCACAACTCTACCCGAACTTATTTGACTGCCCTCCGGGGGATTTACTTTCGAAACACAGGCAGATTAAACAAGAAATGTAATTTAAATCTCGGTAGGGTTAGCCCCTTTGATCGACCGCTGGGCGGAAGAGCTGAAAGTGACGGGTTTGATCCCTGGGACTGCAGTGTTCTACCTAAATTTTAGCTCAGCAGGTAAGGGACCAATCCTGGCCGGTTAGGCAAAAATTAACCTCCCACGCAGACGTTCTTAGGGGTTCGTCACGCGTTCCTGTCCCACTAACATTCGTGAAACAGGAACGCGTGACGAACCCCTAAGAACGTCTGCGGGGGAGGCTAGCAAAAAATATGCAGCAGAGCCTCAACTGCCTGGGGGGAAGGGGGGATAGTGGAGTGAGGAACATGGACCCGCCTCGTGGGGAAATTTCGGAGCTAAGTTCTCTGAATCGACATTCCCTCAGTTAAAGACCCATTTTATGCGAATCAAACTGTTGTAATATTTAGACAACAACTTAAAACGTTTTATTCCAACAATTTTACCTGTGTCTTAAATGTCCTCTTTCTAAAATGAATGGCCCACAAAAAAAGCTGGGTATATAATTTATTACTTTCCATATACCGGTGGATGTGGAGGTTGCACTTTGAAAGAAATTAAAATATTTACAATTTCCAGAACTCGTCGTTGACTGAGTGACTTTCCATGTCGTTAATGTTAATTATAAAACTGCGGTTTGGTTAACAGCTTATGTGGCAGTTCCGTTACTAATTTATTAGTACCTCACCAATCTTATCCGGATCCCCCGAAAAAAAAACCTTTGTAAGCAACCCCCCACCCCCTCGAAAATTGCCTCCTTTTGGACCCCCCCTCCCCTTGCCCTCCGTGGCAGGGGGGAGGCTATGAATATTTTCTGGAACTACACATTTCCTTCTAAGATAATCATCAAACTGCCGAAATTCTGATTGACAGCATTCATATCATGTCATTCCAGTCAATTAAGCAATAATATCTGTCAATTAGCTTCTTCCAATTTTATTTCCTAACGCTATTGTTTCTACTTAAGTTAAGCCGCACCCACACTAAGATATTCAGCGTTTGAATCATGAAGATATTTCAGTGTTATGCTTCAAGACACCCTTAGCAACCGTAATAAAAGATGAAAAAATTGTGAAGAATCAAGATGGCGGTCTCAAAGTGCCCTTGTTTGAGCGTAAGCAAAATCATGTTTAGATGCCAAAATCTCATTGGTTCCTAAGCATCCACTAATAGTACCTTCAACTTTACTAGTCCCAGCAACAGACATCCGAGCACACAAAGCCAGACCTATGTCCGAAACCCTAATTTGAAGCATGGCCCTTTAATTAACCCTGTCGTCAACCACAAACCCACGAAGATACATACGCTCAAACCACTGACATATGAGCTATTTTAAAAATGGCTCAATCTTTCCATTATAGTATTTTCATACAATTCCAACTTATTAAATGTAACCCAACCAGTCTTTCTCTTCGACGTTGTCTAATAAAACTGGGTTTGAAAACTGTCATAGTTTTTTCCGAGCTATTATTTCTGCAGATTGCACCCCATGCAACAGCTCGATTTCTTTTCCTTTCTAGTCTTTACTTGTTATCAATTTTAGTCCCAAGTACAAAGCACCTACCTCAGAATATTCTGGGCTTGTGTCAGTTAGAGGTGAAGCTGCTTCCTTATCTGATTCAGTTGAAGGTGACACGCTACGGCTGATTGCTAACACAGAGTAAAATAACAAAAAATATTCATTAAATTCATCTTTTGTGAATGCGCTGTTACAGAAAATACTCACAGCCAGGCAACTTGGATTCCCTTACATGGGGCGAATGATCATTTCAAAACACTGGCTCTTTTGACCAAGGATAGCTGCTGTCAAGAAGCAACCAACCTTTACACACAATGTTATTGGCCGAGCACTTTGGCAAATTCACTTTTATCCCGCATTGATTTATTAGTGCATAATCTTAAGTTATGCTTTAAAGTGTTTTTAAAATCTTGTACACAACGTTGAATAAGTTAGATTTAATTAAGGAGTATTATGGCATGCCCAGGGGCATAAGCACATAATCCGTTTAGTATTTACGAGCGCCTTTCGGGGCATTTTTTCTTAAAGTTTTCTTAGGATAAGATTCTAATGGGAAAAAGATCGTTGTGCCGCGTTTGGATGTAATGATGATCACCTTTTTCCCGAGAAATATACAAACAGCACAGTGTCGAAAGGCCATGTTTCTAATACTTAGCGAATACAACGGATCGTGCTCTTGCCCCCTGGGCATCGCATAATACTCCTTAAATAGAATTAATTCAATATGGCCGCCGTATCGGTAAAAACGTCTATTGTTCCATTATCTCGATTGAAGTCTCTAAGATGACCGATTAATTTTTACATGTACATGTATACTTATGAGTACATTGCTGTAAAGCACTAGCAGAGAATTAAATCAATTTCTTGTCTTAAGACCTCTAAAGATAATTGCCCAAGAAACTGTGCTAAACCAACTCACCTGACTTTTCCATAAGAGCTTTCTTGCAAGTCAAATAGCTTTCTTCCTCAATAATAGTCTTTAATCTGAGTGTCACCAAGTTGATTTCTTTCTTCATATCATCAGTTACCAAAAACCTCTCTGCAGCTTCATTCAGGACACCAGAACAATAATCATTCCACAGACTTTCCAGACTTTGCAGGTCAGGACACTGACCTTTTATTACCAAAGATCCCACACCAACAGATGTTAAAGTAAAGTTGTAAGTATTTTCTAAATGCTTAATGAAGTCACTCAGTCCGCTGGCTGTAGAAAGCTTGTTTTTTTTATTGTATTCCAAGTACACTTTAAGTTGTTGTCTTAACATTCTATCCACGACGTCCTCCAGTTCACTACTTAAATCACGTGTGGTGATTGACATCTTAACAGTGTTTGCTGTTTCTGAAAATTATTGATTAAAAGCATATTAACTAAAAGTTAATTACTGCTTCTTATTACAATTCAAGAATGTATCAGGAAACTGTGAGGCTAAATTCTCAACTCGTTGTTGGGTGAAAAAGCTTTAACACAAACAGAGCATTCTTTAGCTATTCACCATTTTCACATAGACCATAATGCATCTTGTTTACCCCCCAAAATTTTGCATAACCGATTGTTTCCAATTTCTCCTGGGAATTACACCTGTCTCAAGAGAAATTAAAGACAAAGGTTATGCAAAATTTCGGAAAGTACACAAGGTGTGTTATCGTCTTTGTGAAATGGTGAATAGCAGAAAGTGAAAAAAAAAAACCGTTACCCTTTAAAGGTACTGGTTCACGATAATGCGCATGTGTGAGTTCTGACAGTAGCTGATTGTTTTTAAACCAATCAGAAGCGAGTTAGATGCACACAAGTAAATTTACAAAATTCAAATTCATTGTTCGCGACGCAAGAGTATTTCCGGGCATTTGGTTTGATTTTATATACCCCATAATTCAAGTTTATTCTTTGCTACTCCTCAGATATATGTTGCAGACGATAAGAATAAAATTTACAACCCTCTCCTGCTTTGAAGCAAACATTTACCAACGCGTATTTTTACGAGGTCGTACCCACGCTAACAAAGCAGACACCGATCGGCAAACAAAATTTGGAAACAAACATTTTGTTACTGTTCTCGCAGTTCGCCTTATATATGTAAACCCAGAATTACCTACAAATAGCGCCTGACCGGTGACAAACACACACAACGTATGAGCATAAAGATTATCCTTAAATGAGGATAAATTTCAATTGCCTATCAGCAAATGAACAAATTCATTCGCGTTACATCATCGGGTTAGTGTTACGCAAATAAATGTTATCGAGTAGAACATAAAGAAACTAGTTTATAAACAGAATATTCAGGCAATAATTTATTTTAAAAACATCAATTCTTAAACATATACGATCGTAAAGCAAAGATACAAGGAACATTTCAAGTGTACCAGATCGGTGAAGATCGGGCGGCCTGTTGCGGTATAACTACAGGTCGGAGTCAAAAATCAAATCAAAGTTAAACGAACTCATGCCTTTAACCACTTTCCAAGTGTCGTGTATTCTTTTCGTAAGCCACACACTACTGCTAGAACCATACCAGATCGATGGGCTAAGCTTCTCTATCTCCAAAGACTCTCGAGAACGTCCTGTTGCCGGACGGCCACGATGCTCTTCTGAACCTCCATAATCAAAACATTATTTTTTGCGTCTTCTTAAAACGTAACCAGTCAGACAACACAGCCACACGTTAATCACCACTACCGAAGTATAACTAGGCCAGCCAAAGCGACGGATGTCGGAATAAAAAAAGAAAGATTTTCAATGATTGTACCGGTAATGGCGATTTCGAATTTAGTGTTGACCCGACAAATTTATTCTGAAAAGACAAACGGCTAGGCTCGATTTCCGCCGTCTCCCGGGTCCGGTCTTTGATGAGTGCGGGCTCATTTTCCCGAACAGCGGCTGGTAATCGAGCCTAACAAACGGCGCGCATGCGCATAACCGTGATCGCGTCCCCTTAAAAGGGCCAAAAATTCTCAAGAGTTTATTAGCACACAATAAAAAAGAGTGGCACCTTGACGATGTAATTCCATACCTTGGTCAGAAGTGAGCTCTGAAACGCTAGGAGTATGGCAAGTTGAGGGAGATTCTTCACTTAATCTGACTAAATCCTCAGTTTTAGGCTGTTCATCAACTGGACATTGCTCTCCGGAGAAACCAGAAGCTGAAGCATTTGTTTTTGCAACAGACTGCTTTTCAGTGACGGAAACATCCTTTGGTATATCAGAAGCATCTGGTGCGAGAACAAGCCTTTATTATAAGCTTCTTAAAAAATAATGTATAAGAATTATGTTTTTCTGACACATTCACATCTCCAACACCCATAACCACTCGTCCCAAGTAACACTAAAAATAAATTCTGACGGTCATAAACAACTGTGACCCTTAAACATGGTGGAAACCTTTTAATTCTACACATCACAGATCTTTTCATGCATTGACAACTTCCAATACAACTTTAAAAGCTGTGCACATGTATATCACTGCACTCTTGCATTTGCATATATTGTGCTACGAATTAACTATATTAGTGTGATGTCTGGTACAACATGAATAATTAAGTACACCAGCGCTTAACAAATAACTCTTACCATGTCCCAATCTCTGCATTCTGTTCACAAGTGCTTCACATTGCTCCGTCCAACAGTACATCTCCCCATAAGATGCTCTAAGTGATTTTATCTCGTGAAGCCTCATACCATGCCTTAAACGAACAGCTTCTATTGCTTTTGCCCATTCTGCAGGATCATCTGAATTCACGATGCATGCATTACCATGAAGAACATTCTCTAATGCTTTGGCAAATCCTGACCTACTGCCTACAAGAATGGGTAGTCCTGCAGACAAGGCCTCAAGTGCGACGAGACCAAATCCCTCTGATTTTGACGGCATTATGGCAAGGTCAGCTTCGCACAACAAATCTTTCAGTCTCTCTCTACTTTGTACAAATTTTCTAACAGTCAACTGCGCTTCCACAATACCGCGCTGAAGAAGTTTTTCTCTAACTTCTTCTTGCTTTCCTTCAGGCGCTCCAACAAAGATTAGATGATAAGGTTTGTTATTCAACCGTTGATCAGTAAATGCGTGAGCAGCAATGTTGTATCCTTTGAGTTCAAAGTCCTCATCATCTCCACGACCAAATAACAACACTTTAAATTCACCATCCTTATTAGGGTCTTGTTTTGCCACTAAATCCCCAAACTCCCTTTCAAAAAGGCCCGGGGTAATGGAAAAAAGGTCTTGATTTGTCTTGCATCGCTGTAAATATGAAGAGTATGCTTCTTTTAGTCTGGGTCCCACCGGCACAATAAGATCAGCAAGTTTGCAAAGCCCAACTTCTGATTCGTGTTTTGTTTCACCTTTTGAAATGGGGTCATTATAGCATTTGTATCTGCTCAGGTCCTCTGGAGCAGTGTGAACCACTTGTACCCACTTACAATTTGGAAATTGAGCAGAATCTCTAATGAATTGTACTTGCCGACCAAGTTTAACACCATGGCCAACAACGATGTCCATGTAGTGGTCCTGGGGTGGGATGCTCAACCAATCAAGACGATCATATGCTGCACGTTCTTTCGCCTCAACAATAGTGATTCCATAGCCATCTGCTTCTCTTATTTCTTCAGTGTTGCAAGCTCCCTGTGGGACTAGTAAAGAAATCTTCACCGCTGAATGATTTGAAAGGTGAATAGCAAGCTCTCTGTTTATGGTTGATAACCCACCAGCAGATGAACCCCACTCACCACCAAGAAGAGTAACATATAACACTGGAACACTGGTGTCACCATAGCAAGCCTACAAGAGCAATGACAATAAATAACAATAAACTGTTGTGAACTGTTGGTACTTCTGTTCAAGAACCATGCCCACTTAATTTGCTTCAGTCTTTTACAATAAAAAATTATGATAATTGTTTAATCTTATTCTTCACACTGATCCCTTGT